GATCTGGGAGTTCTGGTAGATCGCAAGCTTAATAGTGGCATGCAATGCCAAGCTGCAGTTTCTAAAGTGAGCAAAGTCCTCTCTTGTATTAAAAGAGGTATAGACTCCAGAGAGAGAATATTGTTTTACACCTGTACAAATCATTAGTAATACCTCATCTGGAATATGCAGTTCATATTTAGGCACCAATTCACAAAAAGAACATTGGGGAACTGGAGAAAGTACAGAGAAGGGCAACCAAACTGATAAAGGCATGGAGGAGCTCAGCTATGAGGAAAGATTAGAGGAACTAAATTTATTCTCTCTTGAGAAGAGGAGATTAAGGGGAGATATGATCAACATGTATAAATACATCAGTGGTTTATAGAGTGAACTCGGTGTAGAATTATTCTCCCTGAGGTCAGAGGACAAGGGGGCACTCTTTATGTCTGGAGGAAAATAAATTTAATCTCCAAACACAAAAAGATTTCTTCACAGAGTTGTGAAAATGTGGAATAGACTCCCTCAAGAGTTGGTTCTGGCTAGCTTGCTTTAAAAAAGGTCTGGATTCTTTCTTGGATACACAGAATATAACTGGTTACTAAAAATTAAAGGTAAAGTTGATCCAGGGAATATCTGATTGCCTCACAGGAGATCAGGAAGGAATTCTTTCCCCTGCAGGAGCAAATTGGATCATGCTTTGCTGGGTTTTTTTTCCCTTCCTCAGGATCAACTATGGGTGAAGGATTATAACTTTTTTTTTTTTTTAATGGTTGAACTAGATGGACTTTTGTCTTTTTTCAGCCAGACTAACTGTGTAACTATAGCCTAGTATTCTTGCTACATTTTAAAATATTATTACATTTGTTATATTTATCTGTTATTATTTAATTAAATATTGTACACAGTTTAATTTTACCTAGAAGTCTATGTGTTTTCTCTCTTTGCATATCTCCAAAACCCCCAAAAACGTAACTATAAAACACGTATACAATCTTTGATCTGAATTTGGTTTTGTCATTATCATGGGATGTTGGTAGGAGAGCCCAATTACAAAAAATGTTACCATAAATGTAATCGACCAATACAGCTGTATATGTTTATGTGCTGAGCATACAGACCCAGCCTAAGCCATAGTGTGTATGTAAACCCTTACACAAACTTGCTGAACTACTTGTTGATCCTGCCAGAAAGTTTGCGAGCCGAAAATTTTCTTTGCTCTCTGCCTCTATGACTTTTTGTTCAGTTTATGGAAGTGGCCTGGAGCTTAAAGGCATATATAAACCTTCCTACCTGCACCTTGTTCTTTTCTGTTTCAATATTTTAATTAAGGTTTTAAGACAGAATAAGAAAACATATGCAAGTACAAAGATTAAATAGAGTCAACACATGAAACTCGGGTACAGGTTTCATACATGTGTCATAACCAGAGACAATTATCCTTTAAAAAGAGTGTGGAAAGTTAAAAGAGTTATAAAGGAGAGGCAAGAAATCGCTCCGCCTGGAGTGAAACCCCATCACTACCTCAGACAGAAGACAGGTACAGCATATGATACAGCGGTTCCAACGTTTTTCAGACATAGACTGTTTGGATACTCGCCAGTTTTTCATGAAGCATTAACAAAGAAAATTTGTTTTAAGTCATGGAAATTTTTACTACTGGAGTTTTCAACACTATAGAAATAGACATTTTAGCAGCCATATGAATGAAAAAGATGTGGAACCAAGAATATATTTAAGTAGTTGTGCACTGAAATGAAAATTCGAATACTGAAATCGAAAATCCAGGATGCACTTGGCCGAAAACCAAAACCAAAATGGATGGTTTTTAAAAAGTAATATATATTTTTTTGGATAAAATACACTTTAATTATTAAAAGAAACACAATATATAAACCCAATTTTTTTGTAAAATATGAAAGATGATGTTACGTGCAAGTAAAAATATACGCACGCTCGAGGAATGGCGTCAAATTACAGTACTTAAAAATCTCTCCATGAGTGACTCTTTAAAAATTTCTACAGGTTACCATTGTAAAGTTACAGAGGAGGTCTAGTGCTAGAATGATTGCTCTGATGTTCGTGGTGATACCTCACATGTGTGGTTTGAACACTGTTTACATATGTGGGCATGGCCTACGTATGCTTTCACCACTACATGCGAGCACGGGGGGACGAGGGCACTTTAAACTTTTTTTTTTAATCTATTTATTTATTTATTTTACTACACTGTTCACTGTCCTTTTAAAAAAAAGTTTAATCAATTTTATCCTATCACAAGGAATGCATGCATCCCCTGTGATAGAAATAATTAGTGACAGGTCCTCTTTATGGGGAGATATGGGGTCAATATAAGACCCCACATCTCCTCCTACTGCAATGTAAAGCATTAGATCTTTAAAAAAAAAAAAAAAAAAGGCCTTATTTACAAGGCACAGGTACCGGCAGTGACATTGCTCCGGTCCTCCAAAGGCATAGAGATGAGTGGAGGCTATCTTTCCTTCACTTATCTCTATGCCCAGCACTGGGATCGTTCAGTGGTTTTCTCTGGCTGAGAACCACCGAACAGCGGCGGGTGGCGATGAGGGGGTGGGGTTATTTTCGGCACCTGTATTGGTGCTTATTTTTATATCGGCCACCGGCCGATAGGGGTGATTTTGAGAACGCCCTGTGGGTGGGGGTGAAACGCATCGACGCACTTCAGTTGGCTGTCTGTATGTCCCGCGTCATTTACGGTGAGTGGAACGCACGCTGAGCGATGCGTTCCAAGCGGCCATCTTGCTCATTGTTGAATGGTATATCCTGTATCCTGTCATCCTGTTGTTGGATCAGGCTGTGAGGGCTCGGCTTTAAAGAATGTGGAACCTGTGAATCTGTGGTAGCTTTAAAAGGAATAAACACTGTTTATGATCATGAGAAATGTGAGTGGTCTGGTAAACGTTTTTTGAGTATCACACAGTGGAATTAGCAGTATTACACTTTTGGAATTTCTTTTTCCTGCACTGCTGTGGAGCTGGAGAGAGGAAAAGGCAGGAGCGAGTGGAGGAATATCTTTAACCTTGTGGTGGAAAGGAATCCTGAGGTCTTAAAGGGGGTTTAGGAGCCCAAAATAATCCTAAAAGGCGCAACACTCATCAACATCTGGTGAGTGCGGTTGATGTTGGTAAGGATGTTGGTTTTTTCACTGGTGGATGGTGGAAGTATCATGTCTGGCACTGGGGAGAAAATACTTTTGATTTTGATTTTAGTTATTTTGGACACTTTATTATGAATATCACACCAATTATTTAATTGATTCACGTATAGATTTATTATTTCTTGCCACAATTATTATAGAAGTTGTATGTATATTTTTATATTTATTGAGGTGGTGATTTGCGCTGTTTATTGCTTCTTTGTATTTTGGTTTCTCTGCCCTGTGTGCAGCAGCAATTCACAACCTTGGTATTCATTGGTTCTTTTAAGGGGTGGTCCTGTGCGTTGGGTTTGTCTTTATATAGATTGGATGCTGTGTGACCCAGAACAGGAAGTTGTCTGTCACTTTAGGAAATAGAGACAAGCTAGGTGAATGAATACATGGTACTATAAACTGCAGCCACAGCATGTAAGCCCATCATTATAAGTATAAGGCAAATAAATGAGAACAGGAAATATAACTACACTAATAACTAGTTAAAAAAATAACAAAACTGTTTGAAAGTGTACAATGCCTTTAAATAGGTATGACTAAACAAAGTGGCTGAGGAGGAAAGTAAAGGCAAGTATCATCTGCTGCAAAAGTGGGGATATAGTGTGCCTGAGTGTAGGCTATGCATAAAAAAGTTCTGATATCAAACAACAAATCCTTAGGGTTTCTGTTTGATGTCTGTTCACCTGTGCATGTCTGCATCTTTAAAATAAATTTATGTTCAAGAAAGACAAAGTAATTTCATTTTATTGTAATTTCACTGTATATAGCAGGACTGGGCAAGGTCTGAAAGCCATAATCTTTGAAGCGCCCATTATACAAAGCTGGGTAATTTTTGGCAGCAAAGTCTTTGATTTTATGTGCAAAAAGTATTTACATATTTTGAACAAACAGTAAAAGTACTTTAAATCAAGTACCTCTGTAACTATAGGCATTGTGGAAGAATTTATTTTTAAACTCTGTTTGCCTCATTACTTTCTTTGGGGAGCAGAAGCTTGGCAGGCTGCCATCCCTCTAATATATCAATATAATTATGGGCGTTCTGTTTTTTTCATCAGTTCAGTCACGTTTAAAAAAAAAAAAAAAAAGATCAGTTGACATCAGTTTTTCATCAGTTGACATCAGTTTATGTCAATTTTTCATCAGTTTACATCCCTTTTTCATCAATTAACATTTGTTTTTCATCCGTTCTTTATCAGTTTACATCCTTTTTTTTACATCCTTTACCAATGCAAAAATGGACCATATGTCAGTTTACATCCGTTTTTCATCCATTTACATCCGTTTTTCATCTGTTTCATTGTTTTTTACTGAAGAAAAAATGCTTTTCTTTCGTTCAAAAAAACAGATGGTGACGGATGCGAGCATTAATGGATGTAAACAGATGATCATCCGTTTACATCCGTTAGTCCATAGAAACACATGGGTGTCTGTTTTTCATCCGTGAACGGACAGATGAAAAATGGACATACAGAGTGCCTGTGTGAAAAGGGCCTATGTGTATTTCTGCGCTAAGATTAAAAAAGTGTATGAGAAATAAAAAGCTGCTGGTACAGGTTAACAGATACAAGGAAACTCTCAAAATGCAATACAAATAGTGCAGCGCTAATCAGAAATCAATGACTAATACAAAAGAACAGAAAAGTGGTTATCAAAGATAAAAGTCCCAGATAACCTATTAATAGTGCTTAAATATACAAAAAAATCCACAAAGGGGCAAAAAGTGCTTCCAGAAATCAGAGGGAAAAGCACCTACTAATTTGATTGGGGTGGAGGGAGAAAAACCTCAGAGATCCGGTGATAATAGCAGTGAGTTAGAGCACATACCGGAGGTGCAGGGGCGGACTGACCATTTGGCACTGCCCGAGGGCCCGGGGTCAGTAGGGGGCCCCATGAGAAGCCCCTGGTACCTTTTTTATAGGCTTTTTTGAGTTTGAGCAAGGATACAGGGGCCCCATGATCCCCTATTGGCCCCATGAGTTCTCAGTCCGTCCCTACGGAGGTGTTAGGCTTTCAAACTAATGAAAAGCCAGCAGCACTTTAGGGGTTAACCCCAAACAGGTCCGTGGTAAATGGTAGGACAGTACTCTGACACTTGGTTCCGCTCCAACTTTGCAGGGCATATGCAATCTTCACATAAGAAGTCACAAACAGCTTTTGTGTCAAGCAAGATGCTCCTTTGCACCGTGGTACATAGAGTAACCACTCACGTCCCAATCTCTCACTCCGCACTCAGTAGTAGTATCTTACTTGTAATAAAATGCAAATAATGCTTCCCATAGTATATAACTGAATAATACATTTAGTAGAAGTGATAGGAGACCCCACATAAAATAGTAGTCCTCTAAAGAGTAAACTTAATAGACTCTGTGGAAAAGTAACTCAGTGAATCCACTTTCACCACGTGTCCTCCACTGACACAGAGTACTCTGAGGTTTACCAGAGCATATGCGACCTCCACACGAGAAGTCATAAACAGCATTTGTATTAAGGGTCCTTTCACACTGAGCGGACCCATTTAGCAGATCTGCTTGCTCAGCAGGGAATCCCTCTACTGATCCCCGATGAGCAAGTGGATGACAGCTCTGTGTCTTCTCTGCTGCTGCAGAGCAGACACAGTGCAGCCCACTCTCCTCAATGGGCGGTCGGATGAAAACGGACCGCCTGTCTGTTTTTTATTTGACCCAATCCGACGGTCGGAAGGGGAATTGGATCCCCATCTGTCCCTTTTTGGCAGATCGAATCGGATGAGTAAACGGACACATGTCCATTTATACCCGCCGCTCCATAGAGGAGAATGGAGGTTCCGATCGGGTCCAGCAGAAAAACGGGCAGGCAGACCTGATCAGAACGTCCATGTGAAAGAGGCCAGAGCAGGTTGTTCCTCCACACTGTGGCACATGAGACAGTCACTCACCTTCAAATCATTCCCTCGATGTTCGGCAGCAATACATCAACAACATAAATGTATGGGATGCAAATAACACCCCCACAGTGTAATTCTGATTACTACATTTATTTAAATCAGTTAAAAACACTTACAAATGAATGGGTTGAAAAGTGACAAATAAAGTTACATATCCCAAAATTGTCAATGCACGCACATGTGTAGTAACGTCACAGCCTCAAGCTTCACCCAACATGTTTCGTCAAAAATGACATCATCAGGGATATCAATATAATATATCCACACAACAAGAAACTGTTTGAAACAGACTGAAACTCGACTTTAGGTCCCAGTCACACCTGAGCATAGCGGGAATGCATGTTCCCACTCACGTTTTTTTTTCTTTTTGTGCACGTTTCACGCATTAATGTGTGTTGCATTAATGTGTGTTGCATTTATGGCAGCCCATTTGTTTGAATGGGCTCCCCTAAATGGGACACACACCCAAGAGAGTCTTCAGATCCTTTTTGGCCATGGAGAGTCAAGGCGTCTTTCAGTGCACATTTTTGCAAAACACGTATCTTCTACTTGCGCTTGTGCCAATAATAATTAACGGGTGTGTTTAGGAAACATGCGGGTGTCAATTTGACCTTTAAGTCTTTGTTATGATCTTTAAAGTATAACTGTGACAGGTTGTTTTTGTTGTCTGTGCCCCCCATTAGGGAGATTGGCCCTCTCTATTTTCACCAAAAGTGAAAGTGCAAGAAAATCCCAAATTTTGGGTTGTCACCAGAATGGGAATAGAGGGGAAGTCTGCCAATGGGTACATTAGTTCTGGCGACCTTAGCGACAACCAGAGGTTCCATCATTTTAGAGCAGCCTTTTTCAATCACCCTGGGGTGCCTTCAGGTTTCTTCAGGGGTACCTTGGCAAAATTCCTAAAAAATGCCCAAAAATTGTATACAAGCCAGCAGGTTGATGAAGCCTGCCTTTTAATTACACAAATTCACAGATTTTCATTGTGCACCTCTACAACCTTCCATCTAACCGCGTCCTAACAACCAATGACATCATTGGTTGATAAAGAGAACATTGGATGCCTGCACAGCATCCTTGTTTGCCCCACCCTTCTCCATTAACATTGGGGTCAAATGAGCTGAGTGAGGGAGAGAGACATTGCAATACTAGTCAGTACCAGTGAGGAAAGGTGTCCTTGCTTTGGAAGAATAAATCATGTTGGGTGTCCTATGTGTGTGGATGAAGCGGCATTATGGAAAACTGTTAATTTAGTTTTTTACACTTTAGAATGAGGTGCCTTGAGATTGTGCATAAGTTTAAAGGGTGCCTTGACTGATGAAAGGTTGAGAGACTGCTTTACAGTAGAGGGATCTCCTCTAGCTTGCTATTTTGGCTATGGGACAGGAAGAGAAGGGGAATCTCCACAATTTTTAAGCTGCTTGTTAAAAATTTGCAAATAGTTCTCCTCCTGCCAAACTTTGACGATTCACTCCTCCTTCCCTGACATACCCATACCCATTGTTCAGATTTGATTCTTAGTTAACCACCTATGCAATATAATTTCATCCTCACGCTACCACCTTTGGAGTCACCCCCGTCCTTCCATCCCTGCCCCAATACTCCCCACTTCCCCCCCTCCACTTGACCGCCTACCCCTTAACCTTCCCACATTAGTTTAAGTTTATCTTCCTTGATCCCCTTACCAGCTTCTGGGGAGCTCAGCTCTATATTCACAATGTATCTCAATCATATTTGCCTATGTGTAACTCTGTTTTCCCTCCATCTCTCAAAATGTTATATTTATGTACCTGTGTTTTATCTCCCCACCTTTGTAAGGACACCATTCCTACAGTAACCAACACCTTTGTTTACATGTTTATGGATTGTCCAATATTATCTGTTCCAACCTCCTGTCAAAAACCAATACAATTATTTGAACAAGAAAATGCATAGTTTGTCATTGTACACATTTATTACTGAGTTATTTGCCTAGAGTCCACCTTGAGAAGCTACTATAAGGCCCCTTGAGTATGGCAGAGGCATTACTAATGTGCACTATGTACCCAGAGGTGCCGGGGTCAAATGGCTCAATACACATGTTTGATCAGTGAAATGTCTCTTGTTCATACCTACCAATGTTTTGAGATGGGAACGAGGGACACCTATTAACAAATGTATGTAGGTATAGAAAACACACACTTCCATGCCCCCCTAAAGGAGAATTATACAAAAAAAACAAAAGATTAGGTAAACTCACGTGTTTTTTTTTTTACTCTTACTATTCCTTTATATTTGCTTTTGAAGTTTACAAATTCAACAATTTAGAAGCTGAATGAAAGGTTTAGCACTGGGAAACACTTTTTGAAAAATAAAAAGTGCATTTTATATACAACTATATAGATCAGACCAAAATGAGGGACAAATGAGGAGGAAAGAAGGACAAAAGGACTTTGTTCCAAATCAGGGACAATCCCTCGAAATCAGGGACATTTGGGAGGTATGCTTGGTTGTTGCATCTCATTAGAAAGAATGTGGCTTGCAGTACCTGCCAGACATTCACCCTGCCACACCATTTGCCTCCCATGACTCACTAAGCTCCCCCACTTGGAAGAGAGATCAAATGAAAGCCAGAAGCGGAGATTTGAAAACACAGTTGTCAGGTGCACAGCATACAATGAAGTTCAGTTGGAACGTTCAGGTATATTTTTTACAACCTAGTAATATATTTTGATGAAAAGCCATGGTGTGTTTTGTTCCTTCAATTCCTTCCTCGTTAGGTTTCGCTGTGCACCTGCAACCCCCACGCTGGAGCGCTGAGAGCACAGAGATCACCCCTAATGTTGGATTGTGTTACATGAGAATTGCTAGCTCAGAACAAAACCACTATATTTACCCAGAGGCATTGTCTCCTCTGCCAAATGCATACCAGCTTGGCAGAACTTGTGAAAAGCATTTGCTCAGCTGCTGACCCATGAGGCCTGTCAACAACCAGATGATGGCTTGCCCACATGCAATATTAACACTTTCCTGGTAACAGGTATTGCAGCGCCGAGGACCAGAAGCAAATGTATTTCTCGTTTATACATTATTAGACCAATAGTGGACACCTGACCATCATACCTACATTATATGATCAAAAGAATGTGAAGACTACTCCAAACTATTGAGTTCAAGTGTTTACAGTAAGGCTAGATTTAGAGTAATCCTCGCTTGGAATGCCTTTCAGAGGCAATTCCGACTGTTTTAACCGAATTTTTACCAACAAATGCAAAACAACCATGTTCATTGCACATCGTTGAGGGGCGTTTGCAAAACTTCCCAATTCGCTTGAACGGAGTGTGGCATGTTGGATACAGGGGCGGACTGACCATTTGGAAACTCGGGCACTGGCCGAGGGCCCGGGGTCAGTAGGGGACCCCATGAGATGCCCCTGGTACCTTTTTCATAGGCTTTTTTGAGTTTGGGCAAGGACACAGGTGGCCCCATGGTCCCCTATTGCCCGGGGCCCCCCATGAGTTGTAAGTCCGCCCCTGGTTGGATAGTTTGTGCCGCAAGCATAAAGCATCATAGCTGCAGCATGTGAACGTTCACTTTTGCTGCAGCTCAACTGGGCATTTTTATGACCCACCAACTGCATGTCTAAACTTAGAAAATGTATATAATACAGGGCGCGCTAGCTGGAGCCCAATCTCTGTAGCTGTAGGATAAAGGTTACTTTGGTCATAGTGTAATATGAAAAAAAATCTTTAAATAAAAATGTAATACAAAATAATAAACAAAATAAACAAAAATTTAAAAAAATTATCTATTTTGTTTTTTCGCACTATCACTAGTCAATGTCCCTGAGTCCCTGATCACTGCCACACCAGTTATATGCTGACAATATGTAAAAAAAAATTGTGAAAATAATTTTTTTCATTTCTTCATTTTCCGAAAAATTATGACAAAAAAATTACAACTTCAAAAAACTCGCCATGCCTCTTACAAAATATGTTGGACTCTCTGCTTTGCAAAAAAGGGTTATTTGGGGGATATCTGTACTGTTCTGATATTTTTGAGCCTCAAGAAATTAGATTGGCTGTCAGTACTTCAGGATTGATCAATTTCCAGATATATCCCATAGTTTGTGAACTCTTTAACTTTCCTACAGACTAAATAATTAATACTGATTTGGGTTATTTTCACCAAAGAAATGTAGCAGAATACATCTTGGTCTAAATTTACGAAGAACAATTATTTATTTGCAAATTTTTATAACAGAAACAAAGAAAACGTGTTTTTTTTTCAAAATTTACAGTCTTTTTTTGTTAATTTAGCAAAATATAAAAACCCCAGTGGTGATTAAATACCACCAAAAGAAAGCTCTAGTTGTGTGAACAAAATTATTAAGTTTTAGTTTGGGTACAGCGTTGCATGACCGTGCAATTGTCATTCAAAGTGTGAGAGTGCTGAAACCGGAAAATTGGCCTGGGCAGGAATTGGCCTGGGGGCAAAAGTGCCCGGTATTGAAGTGGTTAAATGTGATGAAAACTTTATTTTATTTATTTATTTATATTTTGTATTTTATTTTTTAAGGCTCATTTTTTTTATATTTTTATCCAATGATTTTGCCAGTAATGTACACCCGTTCCTGGAATGGCAATGCTCACTCATGCTTCTGTAGTCCTCAGAGACAACTGAGAACAAATAACTAAACAGTCAACACAGATAGAGAGCGCATGAAGTTATCATCTCACAGCTACGGCTCAGCCATCAGTCATTTTTGCTTTTTTCATTATACTGTATGTGGGCTGTTCCCGGGCAGGGGCGGAATGACCATTTGGAAACTCGGGCACTGCCCGAGGGCCTGGGGTCAGTAGGGGGCCCCATGAGATGCCCCTGGTACCTTTTTCATAGGGTTTTTTAGTTTGGGCAAGGACACAGGGGCCCCATGATCCCCTATTGCCCGGGGGCCCCATGAGTTGTCAGTCCACTCCTGTTCCTGGGCATTATAAGAAATAAAACACATCTCTTTAGACATGCTTGCTCCTGGTTAGCTGTGTATTCATCAAATTCTTGTTTACCATCTCGCAGGGGTGTCAAACTGGTGGCCCTCCAGCTGTTGCGAAACTACAAGTCCCTTCATGCCTCTACTTTTGGGAGTCATGCTTGTAACTGTCAATCTTGCAATGCCTCATGGGACTTGTAGTTTGGCAACAGTTTGACACCTGTGTAAGAGCATCACTAAATGGCAGAGCACGGTCTAGATACGAACTGAGTCACTGTCCCATCTGGACTGTCACAGTCCTGTCTTTTAATAGCTGGTTCTTCCTCTCAGTGCTGCCATTGCTGTCATTATCACAGCAGGGGCAATGGACAGCAGCTTTGAATGGAGGGCAGGGGCAGGAGCTGCCGGAGATAACATTTCAACTTAACCAGAAGGTGATTGGCTGCTAGGATGCAGGGCCGACTTAGCAACCAATCATCAGCTTTTAATATGAAAAGTGAACTCCGGCAGCTCCCACTACTACTCTCCATCTAAAGCTGCTGTGCCTCCCGTTCTCTGTCCAGGTCTGTCCAGGTCTGTCCAGGTCTGTCTTAGGTCTGTAAGGTAAGAAAGTTAATAGGTAGGAAGGCAATAACGGTGGGGGGGTCTGTGATATGAAGGGAGGCAGAGTGGTGGGGGTTTGTGTTGTGAAGGGGGGAGAAGAGTTGTGGGGGTCTGTGATGTGAAGGGGGGGAGAGTTGTTGTGGGGGTCTGTGATGTGAAGGAGGGCAGAGAACACTGAGCTGGGCAGGGGGTGTTGTGAAGAGGAGCAGAGGACACCACTTTTGGGGGTTGCCATGAAATGGGGGCAGAGGACACTACAGGGGGGGGGGGTGTCATGTGAAGGACAGGCAGAGGACATCA